CACCCCCTTCCACAAGAGAGACATAAATGAATGCTTCAGCCCCCCCCCCCTTTGGTATATTCTTGCATGAAGAACACCATTCAAAAGCAAACTATCCAAATGCTTAAAGAGACCAGCCATGAGGTTTTAAATCAAATCAGTTGAAGCAACTAATCAATTAAATCAGTGTTTCCCGGCCTGTGAGCCAGGACCCAGAAGTGGGTCAAGGACCAGCCGTCACTTAATGGCTGCCCTTCCCTTTTCCTTGGCTGTCTTTTGCATTTTGGAAATCAGGAACTGACCCTGGAAGTAGTATCTTCCATGTCATACCTGAGTTGGTATTTTTCTTCTTCTTCACTGCCATGTGCATGTGGATCAAGTTAAACATGTCCTGAGGGTTACTTTAGAGCCAATTTGGTGTAGTGGTTAAGTGTGTGGACTCTAATCTGGGAGAACCTCCACTTGCACCTGCTGATGTGACTTTGGGTCAGTCACAAGCTCTGGCACAGCTGTTCCTGAAAGGGCAGTTTGTGTCAGAGTTCTCTCAGCCCTACTCACCTCACAGGGTGTCTGTTTTGGGGAGGGGAAGGGAAAGGAGTTTGTAAGCCGCTCTGAGACTCCAAGTGAAGGGCAGGGGATAAATCCAATCTCTTCTTCTTCTACTTTAGTGAGTTTCTTAGACTCTTAGGAGAGATTCTCCTGTATTCTACAGGAGAAGCCCTGTATTCTAGGGCTTGGAACTGAGCCAGATGTTAAATGTCAGCTTAGTGAGGACACCAGGGTTGGCCAACTGGCTGCCTGTTGAACAATTTTACTTGGACCCCTGCTGGCAGCCCTCCAAAATCATAAGCACAGTTCAGATGTCTGCTTATTAGTCTGACTCATGAAGCAAAATATTGTAGAAAGAGAGCTAAATATTTTGAACTTTGATCACCACCTGTCTCTTTAGGATTTGCTTGGCTCATGCTGGACGAAATGTGTTTCCTACTACAAAGCTAATTTACACTGACTTTAGGACAAAATATGTGAAAGTCTGGAAAGAAACACCAGGAAAAACACTCTTTCCCCCCAAATGGAGTTCAGTATGGCCAAGTGCAAAGTGATGGACACTGGAGCCAAAAATCCTAACTATAAATACACGTTGATGGGATCCGAACTGGCAGAGACTGATCAAGAGAGAGATCTTGGAGTTGTAGTAGATAACTCACTGAAAATGTCAAGACACTGTGCAACTGTAATAAAAAAGGCCAGCTCTATCTTGGGGGTAATTAGGGAGGGAATTCAAAACAAAGCAGCCAGTATCATCATGCCCCTGTATAAATCAATGGTGCAACCTCATTTGGAGTACTGTGTGCTATTCTGGTCACCACACCTTAGAAGGGATATTATAGCACTGGAAAAGGGCAACTAGAATGATAATAGGGTTGGAACAATTTCCCTATGAATAAAGGTTAAAACGCTTGGGGCTCTTTAGCTTGGAGACACGATGGCTGAGGGGTGACATGATCGAGGTTTACAAGATTATGCATTGGATAGAACAGGTAGAAAAAGAAGTGCTTTTCTCCCTTTCTTGCAATACAAGAACTCATGGGCACTCCATGAAATTGCAGAGCAGTAGGATTAGAACAGATAAAAGGAAGTCCTTCTTCCCCTAAAGAGTGATTAACACATGGAATTCACTGCCACAGCAGATGGTGGCGGCTACAAGCATGGACAGCTTCAAGAGGGAACTGGATAAACATATGAAGCAGAGGTCCATCAGTGGCTATTAGCCACAAGGCATAGATAGGAACTCTCCATCTGGGGCAAGGGATGCACTGTCTTCTTGGTGCGGGGGGGGGGAGCAACAGTGGGGGGCTTCTAGTGTCCTAGCCCAACTGGTGGACCTCCTGATGGCACTTAGTATTTTTGGACATGGTGTGACAGAGTGTTGAACTGGATGGGCCACTGGCCTGATCCAACACTGGCTTATGTTCTTAGGTACAGCACCTGAAGATGATTCCGATATGTATATTTGTGTGTGCCCTGGCTTGGATGGCCCAGGCTAGCCTGATCTGGTCAGATCTTAGACGTTAAGCAGGTTTGGCTCTGGTTAGTACTTGGATAGGAGACCATCACGGAAGTCCAGGATCGTGACACAGAGACAGGCAATGGCAACACACCTCTGAACAATGTCTCTCGCCTTGAAAACCCTAAAGGGTTGCTGTAATGATTTCATGTTTTGGTGTGTGTCTTTAAATGTTTAGTTTGACTGCAGTAATGTAAGGACAGTGATAGAGGGAACTAAGTGTGATGTGATTGGCTGATGACTGAGAATGTGGGAGGAGAGGTGTCTGAGGTGATTCTGTGTTCTTGGGGAGTGTGGAGAGTTGTTGAGGGAGTCTGTATGGATGAAGAAGCAGTTGGAGCCTATTCTGTGTGACTAAGACAAACAGTTTAGCCTGTGTGGCTATTAGTAGGGAGCATTGGTGCATGGCGTTAAAAAGCCTGCAGGTTAATCTAGCCAAACTGCTGACGGTAGTTCGAGTCCCACCGCCAGCTCCTGCCCACCCAGCGGTCCGAAAGCCTGTACGGGCAAGTAGGTAAATGGGTACCTGCTCCTTACGAGCGGGGGGCACCTTTCCTCCGTGATCGGTGTTAAAAAGCAGCTGCAATGGTGTTGAATCGATGAAGATGGCAGCAAGCGGCGAGCCCGAGTACGGAGACCGGAGCCTGGAGAGCATGACGTTGCAACGAAGGCTGGAGCCGATTGGACAAAGAGTCGAGCTGCCTCATTCGTGTTCTGTGGGGGCCATCTGTTGGAAAGGAGCCGCTACTGCAGAGAATCCATACTTCAACACTGGACATCTTCACCCTGAGGAAAAAGAACCACCATCGAATCCACCGCCGAATCCAAGAAAAGATCCTGCTGTTAGGTGCCTAGTTAGGAAAATACCCTCCCCTCACCATTGTACTCCTAGCTTAGATAAAAATTGTGTGTCTGTAAACTGCTCTGAGCCTCATGGATAGGATGGTATATAAATCGCAAATGTAACGTGATAGAGAGATTAGACTGAGTGTCTAAGGCTGTCAAGAGTTGAGTTTTGATGTTTAAGAGACTGTGTGTGACGCCAAGCTTTGTCAGTTATATTTATAAGTTCCTTTCTTCAACAACAGTTCAAAAATACCCAGAAACCTATTGTGTTCTTTTATAAATAAATCATTATTTGTTTAAATTTATCCCAGCAATCAGAACCGTCCTTCCTCAGGGCCACATAGTCCTCTGAAGTGCCCAGACACAGGGTCATTCTACCAAAATAGAGAGATTTGGATTTTTTTAATTCCTGGTGGCAGCAGAAAACTACTAAATTCACCTACACAAGAGTGTGTTTTAAAGGAGAAACAGTCTCCCCAATAAGCAAGGACGCCACAAAGTGCTGGCACTTGTGGTGGAATACAAACATCCTGAGGAAGAAAACAGATATTAAGTGGGATAAAAATTCTGGGAGAAAGAAAACTCTGAGAGAAAAAGGGCAGAGTTTCTAGGAATGAAGGAGGCTCTGATTCTTAAGTGCAAAGGATTATATTTACCTCATGAGTGACAAAGTGTAGAATTGAGGATTACTCTTATAGAGAGTTGTGTGGAGACTAGTAGAGTGCATTCAGATGGGCCGTTTAGTCCGCTTTCAGCCCGCCTCAGAATCTGCGTGATCACACAGTCAACATCTGCCTCCCGTCCCCAGCCATTGCTTTCCAGCTCAAAACTGCTTTAACCCGGAGTATTTTGATACCAGGTCCCCAAGTGGTGTTTTCCCGATTCTCCGGTTCCAGCAGCACTTTTCTGATGTCTGATCGCTCCTGTGGTGGATCCACTTCCGGTTTAAACCCCCTTCCCGCTCCAAAGCTGCCCGAGGCTTCTGCTTTTCGCCCGCCATTTTTTAAAAAGCGTTGACGGTGTGCACATAGGCGGAGGTTCGCCACCACGTTATTAAAAACAGTGTTTAAACGGAGCCTAGTTTTAGCATGTAGACGAGTTCGGGATCTCATGGAGGCCATTTTCGGGGTAAACGTTTAAAGGGAAGTGTTCCTTTAAAGTTTTAAGGGAAGTGTTACAGCAGTCAGGTTGAAGAGGAAATTGCTGTTCTGCAGGTGTGAAAATTTTAGTTCTACAGATGACTGCCTGTGCGCATGCCTGAACTGAGAGAGAGAAAAACAACACCAAGGCACGTGGCTGTGCAGGGCTCCGGAACAAGGTGAGTGTAATGCGATTCTCCACGTTAAAAAAGACCGCATCAGGGCTGGAGGAATTTAAACCGCTCCCAGCACGCCATCTGACCGCACCCATAGAATCACATCTGAGAGAAACCCTGAGGGGGATGTATACTCCCAGTCCAGAATATTTAGAGTTTCTGAGAGAAAAGTGGAAAGTTGAAGTAGATTTTAAAAATAAAGGAACGGAAAAGTAAGCAATAAAACCCTCCACCCTGGATGTCAGTGAGAAAGGCGGACTATAGAGGGAAGTAGCAGAAGAGAGTTCGAGTCCAGGGGCACCTTGAAAACCAACAACGTTTGATTCATGGCATAAGCTTTCGTGCGCGTGCGCACCTCCTCAGCTCTTTGCTTCAGACCGACACAGCTCACCCCACCTGAATCTATCCACCAAGGAGGTAAACATAAACATCTGCAGCCCCTGAAGGCTCAGCTCCTATGCAGGACGCGGGTCCCGCTCAACGCACAAAGACTGTCTTACGCCTTCGACAGGGACGCCGCCCCACTCTCCGGCGTGGCCCGCGCAACCTCAAAGCCGGCCACCTCCCTAGACATCCGGTGACCGAAAACGCCCTTCTGGCCTCCTCCCGCCTCTATGGTATGGTCGCGCGGAGCGGAGAGGGCGCGTGCCTTTCCCCCCATCACTCTCGCGAGACCTTCCGGGACGAAAGGCAGCGACGGGGCTCCAGCGGGGGCGTTTGCGTGGAACGCGCGTGCGTGTGACGCGGGGCCTCGGTCCTGCCCTATCAGGGCCGAGGAGCGCGAAGGTGGCTCAGACTCCCGCCAAATACAAGCGCGAGCCGAGGAGGGAGGGGGAAGGGAGCCCGTCACGGAGAGCGCGGGGGGGAGCGGCCCTTCTCTCCATCCTCCCCCCTCCCGGGTATGTCAGTTAGGCGGCGAAAGGCCTGAGGGGGGTGCCCCCCGGTGTGGCGGTTTCCCCTCTTGGCGGCGAGGGGGGGCGAGTGGCAGGTAAGAGGGAAGGAGGGGGTGAGAGACCCAGCACTCTCTCTCCCCCCCCCGAAATTGATAATTGGAGATTGTGCATTTGTTGGGAGGGGGAAGGGTGAGTCCTCTCCCCAATAACTGTGGAGGAGGAGGAGAAAGAGAGAAAGTTAACTATGGGGAAAGGAGGAGGAAGAAGAAGAGGGAGGGGTGTATTTGTATGACTTTTTGCAATTCATTGTTATAAAGTTAAAAACCTATAAATAATATCTATCTATATCTATCTATAGATAGATATAGATATATAATATAAATAGATATAGATAGTTATAACAATGAATTGCAAAAAGTCATACAAATACACCCCTCCCTCTTCTTCTTCCTCCTCCTTTCCCCATAGTTAACTTTCTCTCTTTCTCCTCCTCCTCCACAGTTATTGGGGAGAGGACTCACCCTTCCCCCTCCCAACAAATGCACAATCTCCAATTATCAATTTCGGGGGGGGGAGAGAGAGTGCTGGGTCTCTCACCCCCTCCTTCCCTCTTACCTGCCACTCGCCCCCCCTCGCCGCCAAGAGGGGAAACCGCCACACCGGGGGGCACCCCCCTCAGGCCTTTCGCCGCCTAACTGACATACCCGGGAGGGGGGAGGATGGAGAGAAGGGCCGCTCCCCCCCGCGCTCTCCGTGACGGGCTCCCTTCCCCCTCCCTCCTCGGCTCGCGCTTGTATTTGGCGGGAGTCTGAGCCACCTTCGCGCTCCTCGGCCCTGATAGGGCAGGACCGAGGCCCCGCGTCACACGCACGCGCGTTCCACGCAAACGCCCCCGCTGGAGCCCCGTCGCTGCCTTTCGTCCCGGAAGGTCTCGCGAGAGTGATGGGGGGAAAGGCACGCGCCCTCTCCGCTCCGCGCGACCATACCATAGAGGCGGGAGGAGGCCAGAAGGGCGTTTTCGGTCACCGGATGTCTAGGGAGGTGGCCGGCTTTGAGGTTGCGCGGGCCACGCCGGAGAGTGGGGCGGCGTCCCTGTCGAAGGCGTAAGACAGTCTTTGTGCGTTGAGCGGGACCCGCGTCCTGCATAGGAGCTGAGCCTTCAGGGGCTGCAGATGTTTATGTTTACCTCCTTGGTGGATAGATTCAGGTGGGGTGAGCTGTGTCGGTCTGAAGCAAAGAGCTGAGGAGGTGCGCACGCGCACGAAAGCTTATGCCATGAATCAAACGTTGTTGGTTTTCAAGGTGCCCCTGGACTCGAACTCTCTTCTGCTAAGTGTAGGGTGCTGGGGGGGGCATGGTGGGTGTTGGGGGGGGTTTCTCCGAAGAGAGACCTGCTTGATTTGTGAGTTGAGGTCTGAGGCTCAGTCTGTGTATGATGCAAAGTCTGGGATCATGTGTAGTACATTCGTGCACATGGCCCGCCCTGGTGACAAGGAGGTGTCTATCATTCTAGAGCGAGGTGGGAGCTAAAATGGTGATGGCTAAGGGGCTGAGTGAGGCCGAGATACAGATCAGGTGTTTTAGAAGAGGGGGAGGGTTGTAATAAGGTTCGATTGGGATGTAAAGTATTGATGTTGGGAGGTTTGAGGGGAAGTCCTGGTCACCCTGGAAGGATTAAAAGGGCAGTGGAAGCATGTCAGGAAGTAAGGCTTGCGTGGGGGAAGAAGCTGGGCTGAGGACTGTCAGTTCTGTTCAGAGAAAGCAAATAACAGGACTGGGATGCCAAGATGGTATGAGGATTGATCAAGACTTTCCCCAGAAGGCTAAAGGTTTACAGAATGAAGCTGGTGTGGGGGGAATGGGAGGGTTTCATTAGATCAGAGCCTAGTGCCTGCGGGCGATCTTAATCTTAGTAGTCTTGTGTGTAGAACTGTGTTTGTGATACTAGTTATAACTTTTTGCTCTTTGCAGCTATGGAGTGTCAAGCTAAGCCAGCAACTCCAGCCAGGAAACTCATACAAGGTAAACACGCTGATAGAGGGGGGGGGGGACTTCACACTCCGCATTGCTTTGCTAAATTATTTTTGGCCCTGGTCACACAGGAGGATTTGCCCCGCAAGAGGGACGGATCGGGGGCGCATCAAGCGGGCACGATCACACTGCAACATCTGGGAAGCGTCACACACACGTCCCCGATCCGTCCCTTTGGCTCAAAAATGCGCATTTAAAAGGTACTAGCAACAGAGCACTACCTTCCAGATGATGCACGGCAACTCCAGGCGTCTGGTCGGGGAAGCGCTGGTAGCCCGTTGCAGCCAGCGTCGTTCCCCTTCCCACGCATGCGCACAACTGCACTACTGCCGGTTTGCTGCACAACGTGTGATCAGCTGCTGGAGCACGGAGCTGCGGGAGCACGTCGGATCGCGCTCCTGGGGTTCTTTTTGCTCCGGCTCTAATTTGCCTCCCTTCGGCAGCAGATCATCCCGCTCGTGTGACCGGGACCTTTGTTACAGACAATTATTTACATAGCATCTTACGATTATACCACACGCAAGTGCTGTTTTCTCACTTTGCTGTTTTCAAGCCTTGGTGTGCTGTTGTGGATGTTGCTACTCCAATTGATTCATTTCCAGGCATGTCCAACTTCAAACAGGTAGTGATCTATTTTTTCCGGTCAAAAATGCCAGTGATCTACCACCATGAAAATAAAGTTTCAAATTAGATTTTAACACACTAAAGTTGGGTTCCACCCACCCCCCCATTTATAATGCACCTTCTGTCATTTACTGGTAAGCAAAATAAGCAAAAACAAAACAGAGACCAAGATCCAGAAAGAACTGCGAACATTTTTTATTTTTTATTGAGTTATAACTTTCTTTAACTGTCTCAATAACTTTCCTTAACTTTTATTCAGAGTTATTTGTGTTAAATGTAGGTCAAGTATTGATCCAGGCTGATCTTGCGCAATCTTGAAAACTTCGCTCTTGCTCATTAGTGAGATATCTGAGCCTGCATTTCATCCACCAGCTTTTTGAAGTTGGGTGAATATTGCGTGAGGGCCAGTCTCAGGGAATCCTGGAGATGTTCATCTGTCATGTTGGAACGCTGTGTACTCTTTGTCATTTTCAGATGGGAAAACGCAGATTTACACAAATAAGTTGAACTGAAACAGGAAACACCAATAATCAAATACCACCAAACAATCATCAAAAAACCCCAAACACCTGTCCAGCAAACCAGGCGACCAAGTGGGGCTGGTGTAGAGATGTGAAGGCCCGGAAAAAAAACAGAAAAATTCGGGGGGGAAACGGTCTTTTCCCTTTTTTTCCTGAAGCCTTTTTTGTTTTTTTCCGAAAAATTGAAAAAAGAAAAGAAATTAATTATGGAACATTTTATTTTAACATGATGAATAAAATATTTTAAGACAAGGTGTTCAAATATTTTCCAAATCATTTCTAAAATATATATATATATATATGGTATCAGATTGATCTAATTTCTGTGTACTGAGGACAAGTAAGTCCTAGGTTACAAACTGAACTCTCCAATGCAAGAACAAGATGCATTTCTGCCTTTAGGAGGTGCGATTGTCAGAAGAAAATAAAAAGGTTTCAGTTTTGTTTTTGCATGTGGGTGGGTATTCTGTTTGTAATAATTGTTTGGATACACTATATTTTTAATAGGCTAGTTGTGATCATTTCATGCCAAGTAAAAATGTCCATAGTCATATTTTATGTTCCTAAAGTAACAGAATGACTTTCAATCTGGGAAAGACAAAAGAAATGCTAATGTAGCATTTTTTTCAATGTTTCCGAAAATTTCCATTTCCCCTCGAAAAAAACTGGGAAAAACCTGGGTTTTATTCCAAGCTTCAAAATTTCCGAAAATTTTACATCTCTAGGCTGGTGATCTACCTCTGACCCCTCCGCAATCTACTGGTAGATCGCGCTCTACCTGTTGGACATACCCGATTTACACTAATGGAGGATGACGCCGTGGTGACACAAACACCATCTTATCCATGTTAACAGGAGGCTATTAAGGCAAAAATGGTAGTGACAAAAGGGGGGGGACACGACATGCACTGAACGTTCAACCTGCAGGCGAGCCCTTGTTTGTTTTTAACCTTATCTGGTACCTACAAAATTGATTTGCTTTTTCAATAAAGGAAACCATGGCCCTCAGTTTGCAAGACCTGAGCAAGGCTATTAATAAGTTTTGGAAGTCATTAATTCATAGGGTTGCCATAAGTTGGAAATGACTTTACGGCACTTAACATAGGCACACACCAAATTAGTATTTTAGATAACAGTACTTCTACATGATATACGTTCCTCAACCATGTCAAGTAGGTTAGGCAGAGAGATTATGACTGGCCTGTGGGCACTCTCTGAGCTTTGTGGCTTCTCTGGGATTTAAACCCGAGTCTTCTTGAATCTACTGTGCCCACGGCAACATATGATTATGCAGAGGGCTAGAGGGCTATGCTTGAGAATGAAAAGCATAGTTCAAATAGGTTTCTGCTGACTTCTATGTGAACTGCACAACATCTAGTATATGGACATAATTTTATTTTTCTAGCTCAATATTGTCTGCTATGACTGCCGGTAAGTCCCTAGGAGGCCGGGAAATAAGATTCTTAATAAACATCTACCTGTGATCATGTAATCCGAGAGGTCAGAGATTGAACCTGGGGTATTCTGCCTTCGAAGCAAGTGTCGGGCAGTGGGACATCTTGAGTCAAACTATGGTTCTGTGTAGCTCAGAACTGTCTGCTATTATTAGCAGAAGCTCCTAGGGAACTCATACTTTCCTAGCCCTGCAGCCTTGAACTGGGCATGATGGGGATTTAAACTTGGGCCTTTGTCAGAATTCGACCCTTGCCCGAGTACATCATCTTTGTAACTGTGGCTCTCTGATGTACATAGCCATGTTAGTGCTTCACCAGGTGTTCCCCTCCCCGCTTGTAGTTCCCAATATGTACATAGCTATGCTTTGTTAGTGCTTCACCAGCTGTTCCCCTCCCCGCTTGTAGTTCCCAATTTCCCATTTAGCACCTGCTGGCATTGTATCAATCGGTCTGCAAGGTCCTCCTCTGACATTCTTGCGGGAGGGACGATTGAGACATGTCTGTGTGAACCTTAGATTAGCTGCGCCTGAAACTCTGTGAAAGGAAACATCCTCCGCATAGGCCAAGAGAACTTTTGCTATTTCTCGTTCTCATGGCCTTCGAGAGAGACTCAAATGATAACATTCTCACCGTCTTAATTGAGCTGTTGTTGTTGTTGTTCAGTCGCACAGTCGAGTCCAACTCTTCGCAACCCCATGGACCAGATCCCACCAGGCCTGTATTGAGCTGTATTAACGTGTATTAACCTGTCTATGCACTATGTAATCGTGATGTATGAATGAGGACTGGACCAGAGATCTCTTAGATTCCCACTTTGTAATATTCCTCAGTTCTGTCAAAGAGTTTGACTTTACAGCAACTTTCCTGATTTCACAATAAAGCTTGTAAAAGGACTTATTGGATCTGAGAGTTCCTGCGAGGCTGGCAGCTTTGTGTATGCAAAGCTGGTGCTCTACCACTGATACAGAGCCCCTTCCCTTTCAGATGTTTAGTACTTCTCTTAACTGTGACCCCCTTGCTGTTTCAGCTCGGCTGCCTTTCAAGCGTTTGAATCCCGTGCCAAAGGAGAAACTTGATGCAGACTCTGGAGTCAAAAAATTAAGGAACTCTCAAAATGTTCTTGATCAGAACAATGCCCAGTGTCCCAGTTTGTCGGATCTGTCACCAGACGATGCAGAGAACAGTTGCCGAGTGGAAACCAAAACACAGTTTATTCCAAAACTTGTTAATGGGAAGGGTCCACTAGATAGCTTTGTGAAGAAAAACAATACAAGTCCGTCTTTACCCTCAATAGACTTGACAGAGGATTCTAGCGATGGACCGAGCAGTAAGGGAGATCACGGGACATCGAAAGCAGAAGGTGTATTGACAGAGAAAGCTAACGAGATGGCAAGCAAGCCTAGCTCACAAAAACCTGTTTGCAATAGCCAAGTGGGTGTACTGGCAGAAACTGATCCTCTTTCCCCGGCTGCGGCACATAAAGGTGAATTATCAGATGTGTTGCTTGCGGAGACGGGTGTCAACAGGGCCAAGGAGGGGGCACTCAAGAATGTCCTGTTTCAGAGGAAAATGCCCGTGGTTCTCTTGGAGGATATCATGGCCATCAGATCCCCCAAGCCTGCACCTTTGGAAGGGAGCCCGCCTTCTGGAAACGATACAAGCGGGTCTAGTCATGTAGAGGACTCTGCGTGCACAAACTCCTCCTTCAGTTCTCTCTCTTCTATCAGCTCACCGGAGACTCTGCCTGCCCACGAGCAAACAAGAGACGCCGATCCGTTAGCCTCATCGACGCCTGTCCGAAAGGTTAGTAGCTGTTACAGAAAAGTGGCAAAGATAGTAGGAATTGCTTGCTGGCTCGAGGAACTTCTGATTCTGTCGAAGGTGCAGAATCTTTCTGGTTCCATCCCCCTGCATCTGCTGCTTTCTGCCCCTTTTCCCATCTCTCAGGGATCTTTTGTCTTGGGCACTACTGTTCTCAGACGCGGCGCCTGTGTGTTCCTTGTCTGCCATCTCTGGGAGTTCCTGGCAGAGCGTTCTGCTCCCTCATGGCATAAAACAAGTTCTTCCAACTTGGCCTTTTGTCGCAGTGTATATTAGGCCCAGCTGCCCCCATTGTTTGCCTGATGGGCACCTTGGAGCCAAAAGTGTATGATCGCATACAGCCCAGCCCCATCATAAGTGGTCAGACCCATCTTCTATATAGTGAGGTGAAATGTCCTGAAATTTTGTAGCCCTGGGTGGTGGGGAAGGAGGGGTTGTTTTTCGGAAGGGGGGGGGGATGGAAGTTGGGTGGAAAAGTTGAAACGTGCAGTACTTTCTTATGTAGCCAAAACAAATTTTACCGCTCTGACAAACCATGCTCCCTCTAAGCTGTGGAGTCTTGTGAGCAAAGATTTTACTTTGTGAGCTGCTGGCATTAAAGTTGTGAGCGAGCCATTTGGCTGCTGCATAAATTAGTTTGCTCTGGAGCTAAGACAAAAATGTGTGAGCTGGAGGCTAAAAAACTGTGAGCTAGCTCACACTAACTCAGTTTAGAGGGAACACTGCTGACAACATAAAATGCATAATTTATAAATAGATGATTGTACTCGTTGGCATATTTATAAAATTTAAAAATATAAAAGCCTTAATTTCCTGCAAGCGAAATGTCAAAAACACCCAATGCTAGAGAGAGCTGCATATTGTGATACCCAATGCTACCTTAACCTTTTCATACGTATCTCCGTGTTTGATATCTGAGAGGTAGGGCAAAATAAAAGGTGAAATTAGAAAACCCAAATTCTTTTGTCTATTGTAAACAGTGTGCTACTTAGACAAAAACAGTCTTTAACCACAATATGACTTGCAAGCAACATATTTAGATACTGAATTAAGCACTATACCATTGCATCATTGAACTCTTTCAGCATTATCATATCCATTATTATGAATCAACTATGAACAAAATTAGTCACTCTTCAACAAAAACACATCTTTGAAAATGCTAACAATACCTTCAGCAAGGCAGGGCAATAAACTGCTTGTTTCCCAGTCTGTGCATTTGTGTTTCTGTCCTTTGAGGAAAGAAGAAGAGTAGATTTTTATACCCCATTTTTCTCTGCCTTAAGGAATCCCAAAACTTACAGTCGCCTTTCCCTTTGTCTCCCCACAACAGGCACCTTGTAAGGTAGGCAAGGTTGAGAGAGTTCTGAGAGGCCCAAGGCCACCCAGCTAGAAATGTGAAGGGCCCCCCCAAAACCCGGAAAAATTGAAAAAAAACCCTGTTTTTTCCCTGAAGTCTTTTTTGTTTTTTTCCGAAAAATTGGAAAAATTGAAAAAAGAAAAGAGAAAAAAAATGATTATGGAACATTTTATTTTAACATGATGAATAAAATATTTTAAGACAAGGTGTTCAAATATTTTCCAAATCGTTTCTAAAAAAATATGTATGGTATCAGATTGATCTAATTTCTGTGCACTGAGGACAAGCAAGTCCTAGGTTACAAACTGAACTTTCCAATGCAAGAACAAGATGCATTTCTGCCTTTAGGAGGTGCTATTGTCACCAGAAAAGAAAA